ATCCCAATTTTGTTCCCAAGCCCTACCACTTTGATGACTCTCAAAGTGGAATTCTACCTACTTGTCCCCTTGGAACCAGGGCCAATGAACTGGAATTCTTTGAATTATTCTTTGACCAGCCATTGATGGAAACTATTGTCAGGGAAAGTAATAAGTATTTTGAGTACCATGGCAAATACGATCATATCACCACAGTCAAGACTACACGGTGGAAAGAGACGACTGTTGCAGAAATGTATTTGCTTTTTGCAACAATAATGCATATGCCTCATGCCCATAAGCATAATATAAAAGCATATGGTCCACAGATCGGTTTAATTTCTACCCGGTCTTCAGTGAAATCACCCCAGTGAACAGGTTTATCTTACTATTACATAAGTTGCACTTCTCTGACAAAACCAGGCCCTGACAGAAGTGACAGGTTATACAAGATTAGAAATGTTTTTATGTATCTCAAACAAAAGTTCAGCATTTTACTTTTATCCATTCAAGAATCTTGTAATTGACGAGTCTTTGAATTTTGTTCAAGGTAGGCTGTCATTCAAGCAGTATATACCGAGCAAGAGGAAACACTCCGGTATTAAAACTGTTTGTACTCTGTGACTGGACAGTGGCCGGTATTGGATATTGTTGTATACACGGTAAGTAAAACATTGAAAGATACCAAAATGTTATTGGGTATCTCAGGTGACGTAGTGAGAAGCATGATGGCACCTTATCTTGGTAAGGGGCATACATTATATACCGATAACTGGTACACAAGCCCATTACTCAGTGATTTCTTGCGAATGAACAAGACAGATGCATGTGGCACAATGCGTTCTAATCGTAAACATATGCCCAGGCTCAACGCAGGTGCTCGTGATGACATGCAGGTGTTTACTGCCAATGACATCATGGCATTATGGTGGCATGACAAACGAGATGTCACACTGTTGACAACCATTCACCATAATGAAATGCAAGACAGTGGCAAAGTTGATCGAGTGACTAATGAATGTATTCGAAAACCAGTGACAGTGATTGATTATACACAAAACATGCGCTTGGTTGACAAATGTGACATGCAGATTGGTTTTGTTGATTGTGTTCGTAAAAGTTACAAGTGGTACATGAAACTTTTCTTCCATCTCATGGACATTTCAATGCTCAATGCATATAATATGTACCAAATGAAGACTGGCAACAGACCACCGTATGGTGAATTTTGTTTGTCTGTTGTCAGACAACTCATAATGAAGTACGTACCAGGTAAGAACACCTGCTACACAACAAGGTCCTCAAATTCCTCAGGATATACCCAAGCGTTTGAGGAGGGAAGGTGATCATTTCATAATACAGCTTCCTTCAACTCAGAAGAGATTTGCTCAGAAGAGATGCATCGTCTGTGCACAAACAAAACAACGGCAACAAAGACGCAAAGACATTCGGTTTATGTGTGAGGAATGTAAGGTACCTCTGTGCATGGTGCCTTGTTTCAAGGAGTTCCACAAGCTCCATCAGTTCTAAAACCATGTCCAGTGATTGTAAATATGTAAATATATGATAGAACATTATTTATTATACAAGATTTGTGCTGTTTATTTTTAATAAACAACAGTGGTAAAAAATAATTGATAATAACTTTAGTGGGGTTTAAATTGTGTTCAATACAGTGAGTTATATATATACATTATATACAGTATTGGTCTTTTCAGGCCAAATGTTAGTAGGAAAAGAAAAAAATTGGAAAAAAAAAGAAAAAAAAAAACTACAAAAACTGCTAAATAAAGTAATGTGTGTTGTGGAATTCGTCGATGTTGCTGCCACCACGTTCATTTTGGAAAAATTTTTCTTGGCATGTATCTCGGTAAGTACTGATCAGAAATTTTTTTTTGTTTATTACTTCACAAAAATATGCTTTTTAATTCGGGCAAGATTTTTTTTTTTTTTTTTTTTTTCAAAATTTCTTGGACATGGGCACCACTTCAGATTTTGGCCTTGGACCTGAAGGGGTTAAAGGAACGGGAGGTACAGACCTCTATGGGCAGATTTGTTGTGCGACAGAGGTCCAGTGACTCTCAAGCTGGTTTTGTGGCATTTAAAAAAAGAAGGGAAGTAACCCTGGGGAAAAGGACTTGCTACCTCAAGTCTTAATGGAAGGGGATCCCCCTTCTAACATTAACAACTTCGACATTCTCCCTCCTCCCATCCATCAATCATCACCCGTTTTTCATTAAAGGTAAGTGTCATGTATTCTTTTTGTTAGTAGAGTACGTTTCTACTAAAATGTGCATGTCTTCTTCAGTTTGTGTGCATTAAAACTTAATATTTCATGTGGAAAACTTTTTTTTTTTTATAGTACTTTTGGGTGTCTTGCACCAATTAATTTGATTTTCCCTTATTTTTATGGGGGAAAAATTAATTCGCCTTCGATTAATTTTGGCATACAACGAGCTCTCAGGAACGGATTAAATTAATCGTATACGGGGGTCCATGTATTACAACAATGCAGTAGTCTGCATAACAGTAAATCTTCTAATTTTTTTTTTTTTTTTTTTGTTTTTTGAGAATGAAAATTCAAAATGGAAAGCAAGCATAATGTAAGAAGGCCTGGAGATGTGACCAAGGAACAAAGGAAATGTTTTTTAGTGCCAGGAATATCTACATTGTTATTCTGAACCCTGTTTTTAAATTGGCAATTTTTTAATTTTGTGTGAAATTGGCCAAATTACTGAATTCTGATCACTTTACTGGGTAGTTGAAGTAGGTAAACAGGCGGTTTCTGGCATTCAATCGACAGAACAGAATGAATACTAGCAAAATAGCTATGAGTTTGGACTGGAACAATGGAATTGGCCAAAAATAAGGTGTAAAGTGGGCAAAATCATTGATGCATAAATATCGCTGAGACTGCTAACTTTGTGAGAGCACAATCTTGCAAGTTTTTTTTTATCATATTTTGTACTTTTAGTTTCATTACCTTTGGAAAAGGATTCTCTATCATTTTTTTTTTTTTCTGAAAAGTCTTCGACCCTGAGAGCAAATTCGAGATCAGGGGGTCTCAACCCTGAAAGGGTTAAGACCTTAACTTTGGCATGCCCAAAAATTAAAATTCCTAACAGACTGAAAGAGTGCAATTTTATGAATTGAATAAGACGAAAATGAAGGGAATCTAACAGAAACTTACAATTATACGGTATGTTAAAATTGGTGAAAAAAATTATCATTCTTTGGCAACAGCAGCGTAAATTCAACAGCGACAGTTACATTTTACAATTAACTCATAATTATGACTTTTTCTTTTTTCCATAGTTTTTAATGTTTAACACTACAAACCACTTTCTTAAGATATTATAAGTGTTTCAGGGTGTTTTAGTAGTTCAAACATAGGGAAATGCATAGCCAGATATTGCTCCACACTTTATACACAGTATGAATTAGAGCAAATGCTTTTCTTTTTCTCGTTTTTTTACTGCTTTGTTGTTCTAACACTATGTACAGAGATTAGCTATATATTACAATTGTTTCAAGGCATAATACTCTTCAAAACATGAAAATAAATCACACTGTTTCACTATATTTGGCTATCCTAGGTTAAATGTACATAATGCGCTTACTGGTTGAATTTCAGTTAGTAGCATGAAATTGTAATAAATTTGGAATGAATAAGACATCTTCTGGCACTTCACACATTGTTTGCTGGTAGGGAAGCTGGTAGTGGAACAGGTCCTGATTTCACTGTTCATAGGAAACCACAACAGCTGAACTATGATCAAAAATATTGGTAGGTGGAATATATGAAGGCACAAAAAAATTGTTTGTACTAGTATGCTGGACACAATCATCACTTGTGTACTAGTACTTTGGACACAGTTAAAAGGCTAACCACTACCTATCACCATACAATTGACAACTATCTAAATACATCCACTTCTTCCGTTTGTCTTCCCTCCAATCTGGTATTCACTCTATCATTGTGTAGACTTTTTGACTATCACTATGCTCTTCTCTCTCTTCTTTTATTTTCTTTCTTTTACATACTCTTGCAAATTCATCCACCAACTTTTGTAACCTGTCTTCAGAATCCCCCAAAAGAACTGTGTCATCAGTAAAGAACAACTGTGATAACTCCCACTTTGTATCAGATTCAACATTTTTCAATCCCACTCCCTTTCCAACATCCTACCATTCTCTTTTCACAGTCCATCTGAAAATAAGTTAAACAACCAGGATAACATCATACAACCCTATCTAAGTCCTATTTTCACTAGAAACAAGTCCTCCTCCCTCTTGTTAAACCTAACCTGCACCTCACTGCATAAAAACTCTTAACTGCTTTTAGTAGCCTACCTACTATTCCATACACATGTACTATCAGCCACATGGTTCACCTATTCACCTTATTATATGCTTTTTCTAAATCTATAAATGCAACAAACAGCTCTACGCATCAATGCAAATACAGTGGACCCCCGCATAACGATTACCTCCGAATGCGACCATTATGTAAGTGCATTTATGTAAGTGCGTTTGTACGTGTATGTTTGGGGGTCTGAAATGGACTAATCTACTTCACAATATTTCTCATGGGAACAAATTCGGTCAGTACTGGCACCTGAACATACTTCTGGAGTGAAAAAATATCGTTAACCGGGGGTCCACTGTACTTGGTTTACACATCCCCTAGCCTTCCTAAATCCTCCCTGTTCCTCTGCAATCCTACTTTCTGTCTTACCCATATCTCATTCAATAACAATTCGACCATAAACTTACTTGGTCTACAGTACTCAGCAGACTTATTGCCCTATAATTCTTCCAGTTTCTCCTCCCCTTTTCCCTTCTAAAGGGAAACTATGCACACAGTCAAAACTTTGGAACACTAAACAAATACACCGACTACTCCGTTTAGCATCAGTTGCAACCCCATCTATCTCAGCTGCTTTACCCACTTTCATTCTACCCAATGTCTCATGCACATTACCAATATCCACCTCATAAGTGAAAGATACCTTACTCACCTGGGCAAGCTGGTACACCAAATTACTCCCGCCATGTGTCGAGGGATAATACGGCATCAAATTTGGAGTTATTACAGGATAATTCTGCAAGTAAACATTTATTTCTCATAAGGCAAGAATGCAATAAAAAACCACCAACACTGCATACAAATTAAATAACTAAAATATTACTGAAATTTGAAGATGCTGCTGATATTACATAAAACTGAAATTTGGGTAGAGGCTTGCAATCTTCTGGAAAAAAATATACAACTTTATATACAGAGCCTATTGAAAATGTCATTTGTACCCAACCTCATAAAATGCCAAAGCAACGTGTAAACAAAATTTACATAAACTGTGATAAAAATATATTCCCATTTTACAATAAAAAACAAAAGCTGTGATAACGGAGACATGTCATGTCTGAGGCAGCCAAATTGATCCCTAAAACTGGAAACATTACTTGGGTCCCTTTATGGTACCGTAAAATTCTTATTTCATTACTATAGTATTACATCTCTTTTAGCTTACGAGTATTGAAGATGTGGCAAGAACCAGGCAGTGACAGAGGAATCAAAGGCATATGTGAGCATGGGTTTCTGCTTGAAATCTCTAGATGCATTATGGTAAAGAAACAACATTAAAAGACCGTTGGCTACCTTGAAGAAGGCGCAAACCATCCCCCATTTCTTACCCAAAGTTTTTGATGGCATGTGAATCCAACAGAGCACAGTCTCATTGGCATAAGATCTTGTAACACCATTAGTTAAAGAGGGCTATGAACTGCACAAGGATTATTAAGGTCAAAGGCTGAGCATTGTAGGAAGTGTAGTGGGAGAGAGAAGGTTAGAAAGATGGGAGAAAATGTGCTTTTTGTGGGCATGAAAAAAAAAAAAAAGGTGGACACTAGGAAAAATATTAATGCTTGGTCATTTGCAAGGTATATATGGTTAGAGTGAAGTCTCCTGAATAAAATCTAAGATTCTTCAGTTATAATGTTCTTGAAGGAATAAAAGAACTCACAATGTTTCTGTTTCAGGTACGTAATTATTTCTCTGATTTTGTATAGCAAATCACCTCTGGGATTACTTTTGTCAGAGAAATACAGTTTATGTAGTAACAAAAGAAATTATCAATTGGCTATGAGACCATCTCTAATCCAGTATTTCAATACAGCCTCTCCTCACTTAGCGACGTACTCGTTCATCGATGCCTCAGATTTACGATTGGCTCTCTGACCAGTATGCATGCCTAAGTAACATATATTAGAGCTGACTTCCTTTATTCTGTTTATTACAATATACAGTGGACCCCTGGTTTTCATAATTAACCCTTTCAGGGTCCAAGACCAAAATCTGAAGTGGTGCCCCAGTGTCCAAGAATTTAAAAAAAAAAAAAAAAATTTTATTTTTTCTTATGAAATGGTAGAGAATCTTTTTGTGAATGTAATAAAACAAAAAGTACGAAATTTTATGGAAAATTGACAAAATTATGCTCTCGTGAATTTTGATGTGTCAAGAGATATTTACGAATCGGCAATTTTGGCAACTTTGACTCCTATTTTAGGCCAATTACATTATTCCAGTCGACCAAATTCTTAGCTATTTCACTAGTATTACTTCTATTCTATCGATTGGGCACAAGAAATCGCCAAGTCAACTGTTTCAACTACAAAATAAAGTGACCGGAAATTGGTAATTTGGCCAATTTAACACAAAGTTCAAAATATTCCAATTTCAAAATAGGGTCCAGAATAAACAATGTAGATATTCCTGGCACTAAACAAACATTTCCTCTGTTCATTAGTTATGTTTTGAGGCTTCACAAATAAATTCCATATTGATTTTTTATTCACATAATGAATTTTTATTCACACCAAAAAATAGAAGATTTACTGTTATGCAATATTGTAATAATTGTATAAATATCACCACCACATTTGTGAATGTATATTAGACCCACCAGCTGGCGTGTATTAGACTTTGAGCTCGGTTTCAAGCCATTTCCAGTGCTAAAACCAATCAAAATTATCTCTTATTTCTGTAATATGTCTTCCATTCTATCAAATGAGACCAAGAAATCACAAATACAACTATAAAAAACATACGAAAAAACACTGCAAAGTCGCTGTTTTAATCGAAAATCACGGTCTCAGTTTTTTTTCTCTCATTATCCAGTGTGCTGCAGGATTTGTTTTATGTGGTGCACACATACCACATACATGTATTCTCTCATATCTAGGCCCAAATTTACCACTCACAGTTTATCAGAGTGAGCTGAGCTCATGACACAGATCTACGGTTTGGGCCCTGAACGTAAAGTCGTAGATCTACGGGACGGACCCTGAAAGGGTTAATCCATTCCAGAAAGAGTGACTAAACCTGAATCTAATGATTTCCGAATAAATTTTCCTCATAAGAAATAACGTAAATCCAATTAATCCATTCCAGACACCCAAAAGTATCAAAAAAATACTTTTTTTACATGAAATATACATTTCCCTGCACAGAAAACAATGAGACATGCAAAATAAAACAATACTAAAATGACACTTACCTTTAATGAAGACTTATTGACGAGTGATGAGACAGGAGGGGAGAGGATGGAGGTGTACTAGTGTTTGGGAGGGTAATCCCCCTCCATAAGGACTTCAGGTACCAAGTCCTTTTCTGGGGTTACTTACCTTCTTTGTTTTTTAATGCCACTAGGACCAGCTTGAGAGTCGCTGGACCCCTGTCGCTCAAAAGTGTTCCAGAGAGGTCTGTATCTGGTGTTTCTTTAAAACTTCCCTAAAATGGGACACAACATTTCCATTGTACATGTTGCCAACATTGCCTGCAACAGCTTTGGCAGGGTGAAGTTCATCCGTAAATGTTTGCACCTTTGTCCACATTGCACAAATCTTCTTAATCTTTGAAGAAGGCAGCTTCCTCCATCTCTCTTCCTCCTCCTCTGAAGCAATTTCCTGAGCTGTGGTCTCTTGTTGTTGCAGATGAAGCTCTTGCAGCTCTGTAGTGGTCAACTCTTCATCGTGGTCCTCCGCAAACTCTTCCACATTCTTGAAACTCGCATCCAATCCCATGGAATTCCCCAATGCCACAATACTTTCCACAACTGGCACAGGCTCTTCAGTGTCAGCCCCAAACCCTTCAAAATCCCTCTCTTGTACATATTCTGGCCACAATTTTCTCCAAGCAGAACTCAAAGTCCTAGAAGTTACTCCCTCCCAAGCCTTACTTATTAAGTTTATGCAATGGAGGATACTGAAGTGATCTTTCCAGAACTCTCTTATGGTCAATTCAGTGTCTGAGGTCACTTCAAAGCACTTTTGAAACACTGCTTTTGTGTACAGTTTTTTGAAGTTTGAAATGACCTGCTGGTCTATGAGCTGGAAGAGATGAATGGTATTAGGGGACAAGAACTTCACTTTGATGAAACGAAACTCCTGCACCATTTGCTCTTCGAAGTCTGGAGGATGAGCAGGAGCACTGTCCATTACCAGGAGGCACTCGAGTTCAATTTATTTTCCAGGAGTTATTTTTTCACACAGGCTAAACACGTCATGGAACTAATCAAGATAATGTCCCTCGTGACCCATGCCTTACTGTTTGCCTTCCACATCACGCACAATTTACTCTTGACAACACTGTTTTTCTTGAACACACTGGGATTTTCAGTCATACACCAGTAGAGGCTTCACTTTGAAATCCCCACTAGCATTACTATAAAACATGAGACTTAGCCTGTCTCTCATAGGCTTGTGTCCTGGGAGTGCCTTTTCCTCCTGAATAATGTAGGTCCTCTCTTCCATTTTCTTCCAAAAGAGGCCTATTTCATCACAAATGAACTCTTGTTGGGGTTTGAATTGTTCAGCCTTTATGTACCCCTTCAATTCCTTAACATATTTTTCAGCCGCATTTTTGTCAGAACTGGCAGCCTTACCATGCCTTATCACACTGAGTATGCCACTACGCTTCTTAAATCTCTGAAAACAGCCTTTGCTGGCCTTAAATTCATCAATATCAAAACTAGTTCCAGGCATTTTCCTTACAAGATCATGCAACTGCCTTGCCTTTTCACAAACTATTGACTGCATAACAGTATCTCCTGATTGTTTCTTGTTGATCCACACCAACAACAAAGTCTCCACATCTTCCAGTATATTCGTGATCTCTGTTTTGTAAGGGAGAAAAAGTTAGCATATGAGAAGTTTTTACAAAGTAGAAGTGATGCAAGGAGAGAAGAGTATATGGAGAAAGAGAGAGAGGTTAAGAGAGTGGTGAAACAATGTAAAAAGGGAGCAAATGAGAGAGTGGGCGAGATGTTATCAACAAATTTTGTTGAAAATAAGAAAGTTTTGGAGTGAGATTAACAAGTTAAAGAAGCCTAGAGAACAAATGGATTTGTCAGTTAAAAATAGGAGAGGAGAGTTATTAAGTGGAGAGTTGGAGGTATTGGGAAGATGGAGGGAATATTTTGAGGAATTGTTAAATGTTGATGAAGATAGGGAAGCTGTGATTTTGTGTATAGGGCAAGGAGGAATAACATCTTGTAGGAGTGAGGAAGAGCCAGTTGTGAGTGTGGGGGAAGTTCGTGAGGCAGTAGGTAAAATGAAAGGGGGTAAGGCAGCCGGGATTGATGGGATAAAGATAGAAATGTTAAAAGCAGGTGGGGATATAGTTTTGGAGTGGTTGGTGCTATTATTTAATAAATGTATGGAAGAGGATAAGGTACCTAGGGATTGGCAGAGAGCATGCATAGTTCCTTTGTATAAAGGCAAAGGGGACAAAAGAGAGTGCAAAAATTATAGGGGAATAAGTCTGTTGAGTATACCTGGTAAAGTGTATGGTAGAGTTATTAGTGAAAGAATTAAGAGTAAGACGGAGAATAGGATAGCAGATGAACATGGAGGCTTTAGGAAAAGTAGGGGGTGTGTGGACCAGGTGTTTACAGTGAAACATATAAGTGAACAGTATTTAGATAAGGCTAAAGAGGTTTTTGTGGCATTTATGGATTTGGAAAAGGCGTATGACAGGGTGGATAGGGGGGCAATGTGGCAGATGTTGCAGGTGTATGGTGTAGGAGGTAGGTTACTGAAAGCAGTGAAGAGTTTTTATGAGGATAGTGAGGCTCAAGTTAGAGTATGTAGGAAAGAGGGAGATTATTTCCCAGTAAAAGTAGGCCAAAGACAAGGATGTGTGATGTCACCGTGGTTGTTTAATATATTTATAGATGGGGTTGTAAGAGAAGTAAATGCAAGGGTCTTGGCAAGAGGCATGGAGTTAAAAGATAAAGAATCACACAAAGTGGGAGTTGTCACAGTTGCTCTTTGCTGATGACACTGTGCTCTTGGGAGATTCTGAAGACAAGTTGCAGAGGTTGGTGGATGAATTTGGTAGGGTATGCAAAAGAAGAAAATTAAAAGTGAATACAGAAAACAGTAAGCTTATGAGGATAACAAAAAGATTAGGTGATGAAAGACTGGATATCAGATTGGAGGGAGAGTATGGAGGTGGTGAATGTATTCAGATATTTGGGAGTGGACGTGTCAGCGGATGGGTCTATGAAAGATGAGGTGAATCATAGAATTGATGAGGGGAAAAGGGTGAGCAGTGCACTTAGGAGTCTGTAGAAACTAAGAACTTTGTCCTTGGAGGCAAAGAGAGGAATGTGATGAATGTTGCAGCGAGAAGGCTGGAGGCAGTGGAGTTGTCATGTCTGAGGGCAATGTGTGGTGTGAATATAATGCAGAGAATTCATAGTTTGGAAGTTAGGAGGAGGTGCGGGATTACCAAAACTGTTGTCCAGAGGGCTGAGGAAGGGTTGTTGAGGTGGTTTGGACATGTAGAGAGAATGGAGTGAAACAGAATGACTAAGACTGTATCAGTCTGTAGTGGAAGGAAGGTGGGGTAGGGGTCGGCCTAGGAAAGGTTGGAGGGAGGGGGTAAAGGAGGTTTTGTGTGCGAGGGGCTTGGACTTCCAGCAGGCATGCGTGAGCGTGTTTGATAGGAGTGAATGGAGACAAATGGTTTTTAATACTTGACGTGCTGTTGGAGTGTGAGCAAAGTAACATTTATGAAGGGATTCAGGGAAACCAGCAGGCTGGACTTGAGTCCTGGAGATGGAAAGTACAGTGTTTCCACTCTGAAGAAGGGGTGTTAATGTTGCAGTTTCATAAACTGTATTGTAAAGCACCCCTCTGGCAAGACAGTGATAGAGTGAAGGATTATGAAAGTTTTTCTTTTTCGGGCCACCCTGCCTTGGTGGGAATCGGCCAATGTGTTAATAATAAAATAATTACAGGTTTGATTCAATTATTGGGATGCCGTAAACCATGACCAATTATTCCTCGTTATATTTTATTATCCGGAAATATAGTAAATCTTCTAGGTAGTAGGTTGGTAGACAGCAACTGCCCAGGGAGTTACTACCGTCCTGCCAAGTGAGTGTAAAATGAAAGCCTGTAATCAATTTTACATGATGGTAGGATTGCTGGTGTCCTTTTTTCTGTCTCATGAACATGGAAGATTTCAGGTATGTCTTGCTACTTCTACTTACACTTAGGTCACACTACACATACATGTACAAGCATATATATACACACCCCTCTGGGTTTTCTTCTATTTTCTTTCTAGTTCTTGTTCTTGTTTATTTCCTCTTATCTCCAAGGGGAAGTGGAACAGAATTCTTCCTCCATAAGCCATGCGTGTTGTAAGAGGCGACTAAAATGCCGGGAGCAAGGGCCTAGTAACCCCTTCTCCTGTATAAATTACTAAATTTAAAAAGAAACTTTCGTTTTTCTTTTTGGGCCACCCTGCCTCAGTGGGATACGGCCAGTTTGTTGGAAAAAAAAAATAGTAAATCTATTTTTGTGTCATTTATTTATTTTTATTTATTATCACACTGGCCGATTCCCACCAAAGCAGGGTGGCCCGAAAAAGAAAAACTTTCACCATCATTCACTCCATCACTGTCTTGCCAGAAGGGTGCTTTACACTACAGTTTTTAAACTGCAACATTAACACCCCTCCTTCAGAGTGCAGGCACTGTACTTCCCATCTCCAGGACTCAAGTCCGGCCTGCCGGTTTCCCTGAATCCCTTCATAAATGTTACTTTGCTCACACTCCAACAGCACGTCAAGTATTAAAAACCATTTGTCTCCATTCACTCCTATCAAACACGCTCACGCATGCCTGCTGGAAGTCCAAGCCCCTCGCACGCAAAACCTCCTTTACCCCCTCCCTCCAACCCTTCCTAGGCCGACCCCTACCCCGCCTTCCTTCCACTACAGACTGATACACTCTTGAAGTCATTCTGTTTCGCTCCATTCTCTCTACATGTCCGAACCACCTCAACAACCCTTCCTCAGCCCTCTGGACAACAGTTTTGGTAATCCCGCACCTCCTCCTAACTTCCAAACTACGAATTCTCTGCATTATATTCACACCACACATTGCCCTCAGACACGACATCTCCACTGCCTCCAGCCTTCTCCTCGCTGCAACATTCATCACCCACGCTTCACACCCATATAAGAGCGTTGGTAAAACTATACTCTCATACATTCCCCTCTTTGCCTCCAAGGACAAAGTTCTTTGTCTCCACAGACTCCTAAGTGCACCACTCACTCTTTTTCCCTCATCAATTCTATGATTCACCTCATCTTTCATAGACCCATCCGCTGACACGTCCACTCCCAAATATCTGAATATGTTCACCTCCTCCATACTCTCTCCCTCCAATCTGATATTCAATCTTTCATCACCTAATCTTTTTGTTATCCTCATAACCTTACTCTTTCCTGTATTCACCTTTAATTTTCTTCTTTTGCACACCCTACCAAATTCATCCACCAATCTCTGCAACTTCTCTTCAGAATCTCCCAAGAGCACAGTGTCATCAGCAAAGAGCAGCTGTGACAACTCCCACTTTGTGTGTGATTCTTTATCTTTTAACTCCACGCCTCTTGCCAAGACCCTCGCATTTACTTCTCTTACAACCCCATCTATAAATATATTAAACAACCACGGTGACATCACACATCCTTGTCTGTGTCATTATGAATTCAAAATGGAAAGCAGGTGTAATACAGGAGAGGCCTGGGGATGTGATTAATAAACAGAGGAAATGTTTTAGTGCCAGGAATGTCTACACTGTATTTTGCACTCTCCAATCAATATTCTTATTCTTATTAACTGTAATCATAATTCAACCTTAAAGAAATTACTGTCCCCTTGTTTGTATTACTTTTAATGCCAAATTTTATGTTTGTATACCTACTAAATAATCTATGTCTAGTTCTTAAGTAATCCATAAGCATTATTATTAGCCTACCCAAAATGCTCAGCATATTAGTGGCTTTCTTTGTGTTTAATAATATTTTATTACATGTAAAACTACATTTTTTTATATTGCAGAAAGAAATAGTGTTTTTTGCAGAAGATGGCCTTTGTTGCAATAAAATACACAACTAATAACGAATAACTTATAATATAGGAGTTTATATAACTGACAGGATAGACTTACTTGCATATGTTGAGAATGTGTAATGGTGACTTGCCGTGGCTGACCACTGGAGTGCATGTGAGGTGAAGGATTGGGTCCTCCAGGATGAGGGAAGAATTGACCCTGTGAGGAACATTCAAAATCCATTTAATGATAATGATAATTGCAATGCTTTAAGTTTACATTGATTTTATTTAAAAATTATTATTAGTTAGGCATGCTTCTGGAGGTTCTGCACCTCAATTCAGGAAATAAAATTCAGTAATTACCAGATCAAATTAAAAATTGTCCTGCTCTTTAAGCTCGACCTGAAGTCAAAACTTCTGTATTAGGTACCTAATCAACCAGGCTATTGCTGCCCATACCCTAGTCCTACATAGCCTTCACAAACTAGATGATCCAGTACTTCCTGCAGGAACTTATCCAGTTTCTAGATAAAAACTCTTCAGGCAATATTTCTTGTAATCATTGGCAAACGTGTCTTGGATCATGGATCATGACACTGTTGCTTTAATGGGCTTATAGTACCTCTGTTTTTCAATGGATTATTTTACATTTTCTCCCAGAAAAGAGAAGCCTCCTACCCCTTAGGCACAAAATGATCAACCTCCACTACTGTGACGAGGTGACCCAGCACACGTGGGTTATGTTAGTTATCCTTGGGATAAAGAACCTATGAAACCATATTCCTAAAGATAGTTTTGTAACTGAGGCCCTCTTATTTGCCTTTCAAAGCACAGTTTTATTCTGCCTTTAATTAAAAGTAAGTAGCCTGATGAAATTGTAAATTACTATAAACTTCACCATACAGTTCCTTGCTTATTTGTGTCAATAAGAAGGGTTAACTTGTAATTCATTTTGAAGCTAGGAGTTTCTTTTTGTGTTAAAGATATATACCGTATTTTACAGCGAACAAGACGCTCTAGTGTTGAGGATGCCTTCCCCCAATTCTGGCTGCCTATATTTTTGGAAAAAAAAAAAAAAAGGATAAACGATATCCACAGTAATAAAAATGTTGAACGCAAGGCATTACACATAAAAACGTGTAAATTACTTAGGATTACCCCCAAAAAAGTCAGACAAGTGATTTATTTCCATAGGGGTCCTTGATTTCCATTGTTTGTCTTTGTGTACCGAATGGTTCTTCGGTTTTCTTGTGTTTGGCAGTATTTTTCTCTTTCATGTCACTCAGTTTAGCTGCAATCAAACATCTAAAGGGTACTATCACTCATATGAGTCGTGTACAATACATAAACTGGACCTGACTGGCCATGCTCTCTTTTTACTCACTGTCTTGATATGCACAAAGTGGATGTGGCTACAGGAAGAGCAACATATTAATTTGTGATGGTTTTTCTTGCATTCGGTAAGTTTATTGTTTTACTGACATTTGATGGTATAACATTCGTACTGGGAAGTTGGAGGGGTGATTTCCAATAGTTGTCAAGGGTGAGGCTTTTGAGGTGGGTTTCCAAGATAGAAACTACGGGCGAAACAGCATCACTTCAAGAGTGTAAGCGTTAAAGGTAGGTCGGCCTAGATTTTGGGGATTGAGGGGTAAAGTCACACAAAAAATACGAGCACGCATTGTGTGAGAAGTTGGACTTCCAGACCATGTTACTTTTAGGATTAAAACAAAGGTTTTAAACCCTTATTTTGGAGTTTTGACAGTAACATTTATGGTTCATTTGAAAGAAGGACGGATTAGTTCCGGAAAATACAGTCTGACTTTTTTAGGGGGGTTTATAGTACATAAAAATGGTTGAAAGATTCTCAAAGTAGGGAATATGGGGAATTTTTTTTTGGGGCCATGTTGAGAGGAATCGGGAAGTTGTCATCAAAAAAAATAAACATCACTGCAGCTGAGGGTCATATATATGTTCACGGCATTTGGCTGGTGTCATTTCATAGAACTTATTACCCAAAATTATAAGCAGTAATCTGTAAATTTGGGCTGTGAATGAAAAGAATACATTATGTGGTAAATGTGCACCACAAAAAATACTGAGAGCAGTGCATGAGACAGAAAAATTTAGCCATATTTTGGATTAAAACAGCGATTTTGCTAAGCCTTTTTGTATGTTTTTACAGTTGTATTCACAATTTCTGGTCTCATTTGATAGAATGGAAGATATATTACCGAAATAAAGATGATTTTGATTGGTTTTAGTACTGAAAATGGCTTGAAACTGAGCTCAAAGTAGCGGATATGTTCAATTTTTGCCGATGTTGAAGAGTAAACGAAAGATGTCACGCGTCTAATACAAGTCAGCTGGTGGGTCTAATATATGTTCACAAATTTGTTGATGTTATTTATACAATTATTACAATATTGCATAACAGTAAATCTTCTATTTTTTGGTGTGAATAAAAAATAAAAATGTAATTGATTTGTAAAGTGTGAAAACGTAACTAATGAACAAAGGAAATGTTAGTTTAGTGCCAGGAATGCCAGCATTGTTTATTCTGAACCCTATTTTGAAATTGTAATATTTTGAACTTAATGTGAAATTGGCCAAATTACCAATTTCCAATCACTTTATTGGGTAGTTGGAACAGTTGACTGGGCGATTTCTTGTGCTTAAACAATAAAATAGAAGTAGAGTAGACCATCATTAACCCCTTGACTGTCGCAACCCCCAATCCTGAGGTGTCTCCTGGTGTCGCAAAAAAAAAAAAAAAAAAAAAAAAAATCTTATGAAATGATAGGGAATCTTTTCCCGATTGTAATGACACCAAAAAAAAAAAAAACGAAATTTGATGGAAAACTGACGGAATTACGCTCTCGCGAAGTTAGCGACCTCGGCGATATTTACAAATTGGCGATTTCACCCACTTTGAGCCCTATTTTCGGCTAATTCCATTGTTCCAGTCGACCAAACTCATAGCTATTTCTTTAGAACTCCGTTTTTTCTATCAACTGAGTACAAGAAACTGCCCATTTACCAATTTCAACTACCCAATAATGTAGTCAGAAATTTGCAATTTGGCCAATTTCACGAAAATTAAGAAATATGACAATTTCAAAATAAGGTCCAAAATGAACAATGCAGACATTCCTGGCTCTAAAATAACATTTTCTTTGTTCATCAGTCATGTCTCCAGGTCCCTCTGATATTACTCTTGCTTTCTATTTTGAATTTTTATTCAAACAAAAAATAGAAGATTTACTATTATGCAGACTACTGCAATACTGTAATAATTGTGTAAATAACATCCACCCATTCATGTCTGCATATTAGAATGGCTAGTTGGACACTTATTGGACAATGACATCATTTGTTTACTTTTGAACATAGGCAAAAATCAAACATTTCCCCTACTTTGAGCTCCATTTCCAGGTTCTTTTTATAGTAAAATCAATCAAAATCACCTCTATTTCTATAATATATTTTCCATTCTATCAAATGAGACCAAGAAAACGAGAATACAACCATAAATACTATATGAAAATAGATCACAAAGTCGGCATTTTAATTAAAAAAAAACGGTCGGAGTTTTTTTTTTCTCATGCACTGCGTGCTCCAGGATTTTTTTTTATATGGTGCACACTGACCACACAGACCCATTCTCTCACATGTGGGCCTACCAGCTTTCTCCTGTTTGATTTGAAGCCGCTAGAATTTTTTTTTTTTTTTTTTATCACACTGGCCGATTCCCACCAAGGCAGGGTGGCCCGAAAAAGAAAAACTTTCACCATCATTCACTCCATCACTGTCTTGCCAGAAGGGTGCTTTACACTACAGTTTTTAAACCGCAACATTAACACCCCTCCTTCAGAGTGCAGGCACTGTACTTCCCATCTCCAGGACTCAAGTCCGGCCTGCCGGTTTCCCTGAACCCCTTCATAAATGTTACTTTGCTCACACTCCAACAGCACGTCAAGTATTAAAAACCATTCGTCTCCATTCACTCCTATCAAATACGCTCACGCACGCCTGCTGGAAGTCCAAGCCCCTCGCACACAAAACCTCCTTTACCCCCTCCCTCCAACCTTTCCTAGGCTGACCCCTACCCCGCCTTCCTTCCACTACAGACTACAGGCTAGAATTTATGAGTATATATATGTCAAACACGGTACCTCGTAAGACGTATATATATGGCCGCGACAGTCAAAGGGTTAATCACGAGTTTATTTGGCACGATTTGAGTATTGCACGATTGAAGAATTGCAGCACAATTTTATGTAACATGTTCTATAATTAATTTAACATGGTTCAGTTTATGGGAAGGAAAAAAAAATTCTCTTTTGCTCAAGAAGCTGCCTTGTTGTGGAGCAGCCTGGGAGCCCTCCCGCTATGCCCTGCCACTCCCCGACACCACCCCACCATCCCAGTGTTCGTAATTCATGTGTGTCCAGTCTCTCTCTGCTACAAGGCAGCTGTGTTTGTGAATTGTGTTATGATATTTTAATTACTATATCTTGTATCTTGAAAGGGGGTAAGGCAGCCGGGATTGATGGGATAAAGATAGAAATGTTAAAAGCAGGTGGGGATATAGTTTTGGAGTGGTTGGTGCAATTATTTAATAAATGTATGGAAGAGGGTAAGGTACCTAGGGATTGGCAGAGAGCATGCATAGTTCCTTTGTATAAAGGCAAAGGGGACAAAAGAGTGCAAAAATTATAGGGGGATAAGTCTGTTGAGTATACCTGACAAAGTGTATGGTAGAGTTATTATTGAAAGAATTAAGAGTAAGACGGAGAATAGGATAGCAGATGAACAAGGAGGCTTTAGGAAAGGTAGGGGGTATGTGGACCAGGTGTTTACAGTGAAACATATAAGTGAACAGTATTTAGATAAGGCTAAAGAGGTCTTTGTGGCATTTATGGATTTGGAAAAGGCGTATGACAGGGTGGATAGGGGGCCAATGTGGCAGATGTTGCAGGTGTATGGTGTAGGAGGTAGGTTACTGAAAGCAGTGAAGAGTTTTTACGAGGATAGTGAGGCTCAAGTTAGAGTATGTAGGAAAGAGGGAAATTATTTCCCAGTAAAAGTAGGCCTTAGACAAGGATGTGTGATGTCACCGTGGTTGTTTAATATATTTATAGATGGGGTTGTAAGAGAAGTAAATGCGAGGGTCTTGGCAAGAGGCGTGGAGTTAAAAGATAAAGAATCACACAAAGTGGGAGTTGTCACAGTTGCTCTTTGCTGATGACACTGTGCTCTTGGGAGATTCTGAAGAGAAGTTGCAGAGATTGGTGGATGAATTTGGTAGGGTGTGCAAAAGAAGAAAATTGAAAGTGAATACAGGAAAGAGTAAGGTTATGAGGATAACAAAAAGATTAGGTGATGAAAGATTGGATATCAGATTGGAGGGAGAGAGTATGGAGGAGGTGAAAGTATTCAGATATTTGGGAGTGGATGTGTCAGCGGATGGGTCTATGAAAGATGAGGTGAATCATAGAATTGATGAGGGGAAAAGGGTGAGTGGTGCACTTAGGAGTCTGTGGAGACAAAGAACTTTGTCCTTGGAGGCAAAGAGGGGAATGTATGAGAGTATAGTTTTACCAACGCTCTTATATGGGTGTGAAGCATGGGTGATGAATGTTGCAGCGAGCAGAAGGCTGGAGGCAGTGGAGATGTCATGTCTGAGAGCAATGTGTGGTGTGAATATAATGCAGAGAATTCATAGTTTGGAAGTTAGGAGGAGGTGCGGGATTACCAAAACTGTTGTCCAGAGGGCTGAGGAAGGGTTGTTGAGGTGGTTCGGACATGTGGAGAGAATGGAGCGAAACAGAATAACTTCAAGAGTGTATCAGTCTGTAGTGGAAGGAAGGCGGGGTAGGGGTCAGCCTAGGAAAGGTTGGAGGGAGGGGGTAAAGGAGGTTTTGTGTGTGAGGGGCTTGGACTTCCAGCAGGCATGCGTGAGCGTGTTTGATAGGAGTGAATGGAGACAAATGGTTTTTAATACTTGACGTGCTGTTGGAGTGTGAGCAAAGTAACATTTATGAAGGGATTCAGGGAAACCGGCAGGCCGGACTTGAGTCCTGGAGATGGGAAGTACAGTGCCTGCACTCTGAAGGAGGGGTGTTAATGTTGCAGTTTAAAAACTGTAGTGTAAAGCACCCTTCTGGCAAGACAGTGATGGAGTAAATAATGGTGAAAGTTTTTCTTTTTCGGGCCACCCTGCCTTGGTGGGAATCGGCCAGTGTGATAATAAAAAATAAAAAATAAATCTTGTATCTACCAAGATCATGACACCCAGTAGCCATACCAGTGTTGCTGAAAGTGGCACGAAGAGGTATAAGTAAGTCTTAGAATTAACAAAGAAACAAAGATATTAGACAAGAGATAATCTGTAGCCATAATGAAGTGTTACTTTGTACACAGGAAAAGAGGTAAACATGAGTTTATGTGACTGACTGACAGAATGACTAACTTACTGAATGACTGAATTGACTGAATGACTGACTGAATGACTTGATGACTTGCTGAATGACTTGATGACTTGCTGAATGACTTGACTGACTGAATGACTTGATGACTTACTGAATGACTTGATGACTTACTGAATGACTTAACTGATTTACTGAGTGACTTGACTGACTGAATGACTTAAAGTTAGACACTCCAGTACAACCATCAACTTCAGTACCAGAACCTCTACCATCCACCTCAGCCCAGTAGGACCACAACATAACTCTCGACTCTCTTCACTATCATCCACAAACACCAGCACCCACAATTTAAGGTAAGAAATACTATTATTTCTGTTACATTTGTAGTCTAAAGCAGTAAAAACAACATAATACATCACAACAATGAACTACAACTACATATTCACTTTTATTTTCGTAAGATGTGGCCTAAAAAAAAAGTTGTTTGGCTTTTTGGGGGGCTCCCAGGAACATAACCTTATTTTTCCCATAAGTTCTTCAGTTCATCTCACACGATTTTACCTAACACGGCATTTTCAGGAACGTAACTACTGTGCTAAATGACGGTCTACTGTAATACTAGCGAAATAGTTAAGAATTTTGTCGATTGGAATAATGCAATTGGCCTATAATGGGAGTCAAAGTCGGCAAAATCACTGATGCGTAAATATTGCTGATGCAGCAAAATTCGCGAGAGTGCAACTTCGTCAATTTTCCACCAAATTTCATACTTTTTGTTTTATTACCTTCAGAAAAAGATTCTCTACCATTTCATAAGAAAATATAAAATTTTTTTTTTTTTTTTAAATTCTTGGACCCTGACTGTCACTCTGAGATTTGGCCTCTGAACCCTCCAAGGGTTAATACCACAAACATGACAAGCCAAACACCACAACAGGAAATGTTTAAAACTACGTAATAACATAACATTTTATTTCGCATATTTTTTACCCATTTTACAAATACCATAAAAACATTACCGGAGAATAAAAGTACAATATAACTGATCGAGATGTAAAAGAAGTAAATGCTAGGGTGTTGGGAAGAGGGGTGGGATTAAATTATGAGGAATCAAATACAAAATGGGAGCTGACACAGTTACTTTCTGCTGATGATACTGTGCTTTTGAGAGAATGGAAAGATAAGCTGCAAAGGTTAGTGGATGAGTTTCAGAGGGTGTGTCAAGAAAAAGTTGACAATGAATATAGGTAAGAGTAAGGAGATGAGGGTATCAAATGAGTTAGGTAAAGAAAAATTGGATGTCACACTGGAGGGAGTAAGGAAGAAGTGAATGTGTTCAGATATTTGGGAACAGATTTGTCAGAAGATGGGTTTATGAAGGACAAGACTAAGCATAGAATTGACGAAGAAAAAAAGGCGAGTAGTGAATTGAGGTATCTGTGGAGACAAAAAAACATTATCCGTGGAGGTAAAGAAGGGAATGTATGAGAGTATAGTAGTACCAACACTCTTATATGGGTGTGAAGCATGGGTTGTGAATGCTGCAGCGAGAAGAGGCTGGAGGCAGTGGAGGTGTCGTGTGTAAGGGCATTGTGTGGAGTAAATATTATGCAGAGAATTTGTAGTGTGGAAAATTAGGTGGTGGTGCAGGGTTACTAAAAGTATAATTCAGAGGACTGAAGAGGGATTATTGAGGTGGTTTGGTCATTTAGAAGAGGATGGAGCAAAACAGGTTGACTTGGAGGGTGTATAAATCTGCAGTGGAGGGAAGGAGTAGGAGTCATCCTAGGAAAGGATAGAGGGAGGGGGTAAAAGAGGTTTTGTGTGCAAGGGGCCTGGGCATGCTGCAGGCATGTGTGCGTTTGATAAGAGTGAATGGAGATGAATGGTTTTTGGGACCTGGCAAGCTGTTGGATTGTGAGCAGCAAAATATTCTGTGAAGGGATTCAGGAAAACCGGTTAGCTGGACTCGAGTCCTGGAGGTGGGAAGTATAATGCCTAAACTGTAAAGAAGGTGTCTGAGACATTGGCTGTTTGAAATAACATCTAAAGTGTCATATATGGGTGCCTCTGCAAAGACAGTGATATTTTGTGAATCATGGTAAAAATATTTCATTTTTGGGCTACCCTATCTAGGTGGGAGACTGCCAGTGTGTTAAAAAAAAGAAAAAAGATTAGATACAGGATGATAGTTTGAAGTGTTTTCTGGATCAAGGGAAGCTTTCTTGAGAATTGGGCAAACCAAAGCTCTCTTCAGTGACTGTGGAAAACATCTCCTTTACAAACAATGACAAAAAGGGAAAAACACTTCCATGTGCTGTCAAGTTGGTATGATTCCTCTGTTGCTGGGCAACAGAGGAATCATACCAAGGGGCAACATCATGGAAGAAGATCCTTTCAGTGATCAAAGGACAGAACTTACTAAATCAACAACTGCAGTCGACTACTCTTCAATCTTACATTACCAGTTATACAAAATCACCATCATCATCATCTTTCAACAAACTGGCCATATCCCACCAAGGCAGGGTGGCCCAAAAGAGAAAAATGAAAGTTTCTCTTTTTAAATTTAGTAATACATACAGGAGATGGGATTACTAGCCCCTTGCTCTTGGCATTTTAGTTGCCTCCAACAACACACATGGCTTACAGAGGAAGAATACTGTTCCACTTCCCCATGGAGATAAGAGGAAACAAACAAGAACTAGCAAGAAAATAGAAGAAAAGCCAGAGGGGCTTATATATATATATATATATATATATATATATATATATATATATATATATATATATATATATATATATATATATATATATGCTTGTACATGCAAGTGTTATGTGACCTAAGTGTAAGTAGAAGTAGCAAGACGTACTTGAAATCTTGCATGCTTACGAGACAGAAAAAAAAGACACCAGTAATCCTACCATCATGTAGGATTGCAGGTTTCCATTTTACACTCACTTGGCAGAATGGTAGTACCTCCCTGGGTGGTTGCTATCTACCATCCTATCTACAATATACAAAATACTGTAGGAAAAAGTTTCAATAGGTAATGCCAGTTCAACTAGGGTATGCAAAATACTGACACTAGCAGCCTGGGTAATCAGGTCAACAGTGAAGCATATTTTAGCCTCAGGACAGAGAACTTTCAAAACTGGTCATAGGTATGCTAAAGTTATATAAATACAAAGGAATACTGTACAGCGAACAGGACATAGCTGTTCATCCAAAATCCATTTGCACCCATCTGCAAATCAGGAAAAACTAGTTTCATATGCAAAAGTGAAGCAGTGACAATGATCAACTATATATCTCATTGCACAGGAAAACAAATTCGAAATTACAATCAGTAAAAAGTGAAAGCTAACCTGAGCATTAGGTTGTGGTCCCTGGGGCTGGTTCTGTGTGTTGGAAGGATACATCATGTTGTGTGCTGATGCCACTGGTAAACTCCCTCCTGCAACAATTGCCTACAGTTACAACTGTGAAGTTTTAAATAACAATAGTTAATTATTATATTCATGGGGTTGTGCCAAACCCATAAGATCATACAGCTCCTGGGGAATGGGATGGGTGGGGAGTAATCAGATTTGATCTGAGGAAGAGTGGGGAAGTTCCCATTCCTTAAATAAAGAGCCTTTCACTAACATCATGGCATCCTTCTTGAAGGACACAAGTTAACTTCTTGCATGTTTTATATAAAGTAACAAAGAAATCAAATTATAAGTACAGTATATGGTCAAAGCCCAACAGTCATCAGAGAGCACACATCTTTTCTTGAGCATGGCTGCTCCTAGCCCCTCTGGCATTTATTCTTATGCCGAAGGAAGGATGTTAGAATTTTTACCCCAGATGTTTTGTAACTAAATCATTAAGTTCATAAATAAAATGTTCACATTTTTCAAAGCAATACTTTTTGCCTTTAGTACAGAGTTTGTCACTTATCTTCTGATAATACAGTATTTGCATGCTTTATTAATTTCTCTGGACTGTTCATGGCAAAAAAAAAAAAAAACTAGTTGCAGTGGAATCTATTGATAGTACATTTCACCAAAAGTTAGGCTTTTCAAGTACATAAGTACTTGAAAAAAGTGAACACATTTGAAATATTTTACCAATAAAATAAAGGACCCCATTGTAACTAGTTTATTTTTACTACCTGTTGATGTCTTGTCTCCAGTTTCCATCATGGACTGTCCATGTATGAAGACAACATGATTAAAATCAGTTTTTTTTTTTTTTTTGTTGGGGGGGGGGGGAGATGATCATGACTTTTACTTTTAATGAGTTCTGAGAATTTTTCTACTGGTGCTAGCCTAGTCAACCAGGCTGTTGCTGCTGGTGGCCTGCTGCCCCACATATCCATCACAGTCTGGTTGATCTGGACCCTGCTGAAGATACTTGTCTGGTTTCCCCTTGAAGACTTCTACTCCTGTCCCAGCAGTGTTTCTAATATTTTCATTTAATCTTGCACTACTGTACAGTCAGACAGTGCAGCTACAGCTGCACTGTCTGGCTGTACAGTAATACCTCCATACTCGAACTTAATTCGTTCCAGAAGGCTGTTCGAGTGCCAATCTGTTCGAGCACTGAAAAGATTGGTACTACTGTGACTAACCAATTTTCTTTTTGGTTGGCTATTATTACTAATCTTCTCAGGCCCCATGGTGACTTATACAAATATAAAAAAAAATGTGAAGAAACACAAAATAGTTTACAATGAAGTTCTGGCACATTATGTTTGTTTGGTCGAGTGCCGAACAAACGGTCTACTATTAAGTGATTTTTTTTTACAGAACAAAGCATTCAAATACCAAATTTTTCGAGTTGGGAGCTGTTCAAGTACCAAGGTACTACTGTATTTGTCTTTTCATAAGCCTGCATCTATATCCTGGTTCTCTGTATGCTTGTATTTCAAAAGTTTTGGTACATACTGCAGAAGTCTATCTTGCATGATTTAATCATATTCTTTCTTACACAGAAACTGTATAAAACATGACAGTTGTTTAATATTTCATATACAGTATACATTCCAACTCAAAATTATAATTCCAAATTTAAACACTATTAATTATCTTTTACATAAATTTTACTGGTGAATAAGATACACCTGCATCGAGGCCTGGTCACAGACCGTGCTGTGGGAGCATTGACCCCGGAAACCCTCTCCAGGTATACTCCAGGTAATATATGGGTATCTCTATTACCATAGTATTTCACTTCCACAGCAAGCTTCTTTAGTCAAATACAGACATGACTCATACTGGAGACAATGCAGCAGTTGAAGACAGCATTACAGATGGACGGGGCCCATATGTTGCAACCATCAGTTTATCAGTACAATAGGGCCCCGCTTTACGGTGTTCCGCTAATACAAACATTTCAAATTATGACCAAAACTCGCTATATGGCTCCTCCCACCTGTCTTCTTAATATGGTCACCGCGCCCCACCCGATTTGTTTACATTCTCCATGAGCACTATGTCTCTCCATTATGTCTGGAGACTTTCCAAAATTTCAAGTGTTTTAAAGTTATTTCATGTTTTATATATACTCTGATAATTATACTTATGTGTACCTGTACCTAAATAAACTTACACACTGTGCTGGCATGCAGATACATATTAATATCACTAAGAGTGTCTTGTTAGTCTTGAGGATGCCATATTAATAATGAATATAATAATACACAATAATAATCACTCTGTGGCATATTAAATGTTGTATATTATGTTAATATACACACTTTCAATAATCCATCAATGATATTTTTTCAAAATTATATAATATACATGCTACGTAACATATAAACATAATAAATACATCCCACAGAAGAATAAATTAACATAAACATGAGATGTTTTTTGCAGTCAGTGTCGGAAAGAGTAACGTTTTCTCTAGTTCAACACCAAAGAAAATGTGTACACAATAATATTACTGGGGGTAACTGTAGAAAATTATTCCTTTTGTATGCCTTCACTCAGAACATCATTTCTTCTAAAAATGGTGTTACATGAGAATGGGAGTGTTGCTCTTTATTTATTCTACTGTACCAACGTGGAGACCGTTTGTATACATTGTAAAGTGAAAGTCAGGAATGTAGATAGTCAGGTGTGGGAGGTATGGTAGCCAGTCAGGCTAGGCTAGGCCACCCCACCCACTTATAATAAACTAACATTTAAAGTGTCCAAGAGCAATAAAATGCACACACAGTTCACTTATTACTTACTTTAAAATATATGTACTCTTAATGTTGGGTGAGAGGCGCTTAAACAAGATAAAACGAATAAATGAGAGAGAGAATGAATAAATGAGAGAGGATAGAGATGCAGAGCATGTAAACAAACAGATGAATGCCTCTTGTTTTGGTTCACAATAAGTTTATTCAGGTATACACAAATACAGTTACATAGATTATTACACATAGCAGCATGTGTGTAGAGAACCTAGGATAATCCAAAAAAGTCCAAGTCACTTATACCTCAATGCAAATAAGTCACTGACTTTTTTGAGTTATCCTAAGTTCTCTACACATACACTGCTATTTATGTAATTGTATTTGTGTATACCTGAATAAACTTGCTTACTTACTATGAACCAAAACCAGATATGTTCGTCTGTGTCTTTGTCTGCCTGTGTCTGTACTCACCTAGTTGTACTCACCTAGTTGAGGTTGCAGGGGTCGAGTCCAAGCTCCTGGCCCCGCCTCTTCACTGGTTGCTACTAGGTCACTCTCCCTGAACCATGAGCTTTATCGTACCTCTGCTTAAAGCTATGTATGGATCCTGACTCCACTACATCGCTTCCCAAACTATTCCACTTCCTGACTACTCTGTGGCTGAAGAAATACTTCCTAACATCCCTTTGATTCATCTGTGTCTTCAACTTCCAACTGTGTCCCCTTGTTACTGTGTCCAGTCTCTGGAACATCCTGTCTTTGTCCACCTTGTCAATTCCTCTCAGTATTTTGTAAGTCGTTATCATGTCCCCCCTATGGCCTAACACCCCTATGGGCCTAACGTGTGTGTGTGTGTGTGTGTGTGTGTGTGTGTGTGTGTGTGTGTGTGTGTGTGTGTGTGTGTGTGTGTGTGTCTGTGTGTGTGTGTCTGTGTGTGTGTGTCTGTGTGTGTGTGTGTGTGTGTGTGTGTGTGTGTGTGTGTGTGTGTCTGTGTGTGTGTGTGTGTGTGTGTGTGTGTGTGTGTGTGTGTGTGTGTGTGTGTGTGTGTGTTGTGTGTGTGTGTGTGTTGTGTTGTGTGTGGTGTTGTGTTGTGTGTGTGTGTGTGTGTGTGTGTGTGTGTTGTGTGTGTGTCTGTGTGTGTGTGTCTGTGTGTGTGTGTCTGTGTGTGTGTGTCTGTGTGTGTGTGTGTGTGTGTGTGTGTTGTGTGTTGTGTGTGTCTTGTGTGTGTTGTGTGTTGTGTGTGGTCTGTGTGTGTGTCTGTGTGTGTGTTGTGTGTGTTGTGTGTGTGTGTGTGTGTACTCACCTAATTGTGGTTGCAGGGGTCGAGACTCAGCTCCTGGCCCCGCCTCTTCACTGATCGCTACTGGGTCCTCTCTCTCTCTGCTTCCTGAGCTTTGTCATACCTCTTCTTAAAACTATGTATGGTTCCTGCCTGCACTACTTCACTTCCTAGGCTATTCCACTTGCTGACAACTCTATGACTGAAGAAATACTTCCTAACGTCCCTGTGACTCGTCTGAGTCTTCAGCTTCCAGTTGTGACCCCTTGTCCTGTGTTCCCTCTCTGGAACATCCTATCTCTGTCCACCTTGTCTATTCCCCGCAGTATCTTCTATGTCGTTATCATGTCTCCCCTGACCCTTCTGTCCTCCAGTGTCGTCAGTCCGATTTCCCTTAACCTTTCCTCGTACGACATTCCCTTGAGCTCTGGGACTAGCCTTGTTGCAAACCTTTGTACTTTCTCTAACTTCTTGACGTGCTTGACCAGGTGTGGGTTCCAGACTGGTGCTGCATACTCCAGTATGGGCCTAACATACACAGTGTACAGTGTCTTGAACGATTCCTTATTAAGGTATCGGAACGCTATTCTCAGGTTTGCCAGGCGCCCGTATGCTGCAGCGGTTATTTGGTTGATGTGTGCCTCCGGTGATGTGCTCGGTGTTATGGTCACCCCAAGGTCTTTCTCCCTGAGTGAGGTCTGTAGTCTTTGTCCACCTAGCCTATACTCTGTCTGCGGTCTTCTTTGCCCCTCCCCAATCTTCATGACTTTGCATTTGGCTGGATTGAATTCGAGAAGCCAGTTACTGGACCACATGTCCAGCCTCTCCAGGTCTCTTTGCAGTCCTGCCTCATCCTCGTCCGATTTAATTCTTCTCATCAACTTTACGTCATCTGCGAGCAGGGACACTTCAGAGTCTATTCCTTCCATCATGTCGTTCACATATATCAAAAATAGCACTGGTCCTAGAACTGACCCCTGTGGGACCCCGCTCGTAACAG